GTGGGTTGGGCAGCGAATTGAGTCCGTAGTGTATGTGCCAATGCTGGATTCCGCGCGTCCGATTGTAGTCGAGACATGCAATGCAGCAAAACCAAAAAGATGTGACGTGAAAGTACTGTTGATTTAACGCACACAAGAAAGAAACGCGTAGTTTACCGGTTACCGTTCCAGGTCGTGGGTAGTGGCGAAAAATTAAACCCGAACTGTCGTCGTATGGGGCGCGGACGCCGGTAGGGCTTGAGGCCTGAGGTGTCATGTTGCACATGGCACGCTCAGAAAGCTGCGGGGACGCAGTCCCGTTTGTGAGCGCCCGGGAGAATGTTCGGTAACCGGTTGCGCGTTGAAGAGTGATAAGCTGGGCGACAACTGGGCGATATCCGCGAGCGCCGAGCGCATCGCTATGCACCGAGTAGACATCAGAGTTTTCGCCGAGACGTAGTGTCAGCGTACCTAGTCTTGACCAAATTTTACCTAGCGTGGAGTCGATGGAGGGATGTGGCCGGAAGCCCGTCCCTTCCTCAGAAAAGCCGAAAAAAAGCCGAGACGCTTCTCAAATATTCTGACGAGGACCACGAAAAACTGCGGGTGGGTCTGCAATTCATCGTACAACATAGAGAGCGCCACAAGAGAGAGAGCGAGGGCGTCTAGGTGAACTTGAACTTTGAACATCGCCGTGACTGGTCAACCTGCTGCAACCCCATTTGATTTGGACTGAATTTGACTGATGGGTCCGGCCCGCGTCCCTGTCTCTTGCCCTCATCCCCGCTCAACGCAATGGCTGGAAAACAGGTCAGGCGGCGCTCAAAAAACCAATGCGCATGCTTATATGTTTTTACCCTGTCCTAGCTTGGGAAACTGCGGCAAGTCAGTTTGTGGCGCACACGACGTTCGGGATCGCAAACTAATCGGACCACTTTTCTCCATTTATTTCTATGGTTTCTAGTGGGCCAGCGAGGTCATCTCGTCGCAGGAGCGGACGACCGTGTCGGAGGAGTTCAAGGAGCTCGAGAAGGATGTTGAGCTACGAAGAGACGGCGCGCAGAGGTGCGTGGCATATGACACGCAATAAACAGGCATTTTACTCCATTAACAGACTGTTTCTGGCGGCCGAGGCGTACCACAAGAATCTGGCGAAGAAGAAGGACAACGGCGCCCTTGATGACGCGGAGAAGCTGCTCCCCGTTGACACTCTTGGGATCGTCATGATCATCCACGGCGAGGAGTTTGGCCAGGATTCGCCGTTTGGTAGCCTCTCTTGCAGCTGTGTCTTTCGTGGAAATAACATTGGGCAGGCAATTCGCTGGTTACACTGGGTCGTGCGCACTGCAAAGTCGCGAAGCTCCAGGAGACGTTCGCCCAGTCCTTCTCTGACAGCTTCATGGCGTCCCTTGTGCGCTTCTCCGAAGACATAAAGGACTACGAGGCGCTCCGCAAGAAGCTAGAGAGTAGACGGTGCGCCCAATCTGCTTATCCCAAAAACATCTTCTAATAGCCGTCTGTAGACTAAGTCTAGACGCCGCCAGTGCGAAATACGAGAAGCTCAAGAGCAGCAAGAAGGAAAAGGAGCGCAAGGAGGCGGAGGAGGAAATGCACCGTGCCAAGGCCCGCTAGTATGCCCGCTATGTGCACCTTACATTTCCGCCGAACTAACGACGCGCCACAGCGAAGAGACCGAGGAGGAGGTCGAGGCGCACATGCACGCGATCCAGGAGAACGAGATCGTGCAGCTCCGCGAACTCACGGGATTTCTCACCCTCGAGCTCAACTTTGTCGAGCAGTACCTCGAGGTGCTCAAAGACACCCGCGCGAACTGGCCTAGCGAGTTAGTGTTTGCCCTATGAAGCAATTCCGCTGCTGAACTGCCTCAGTTCACACCCAGCGAAACAAGCAAGCAAGACCGGCTCGATGCGCTCGAAGAAATCGGCAACGCCGTCCCGCGAGTCGCGCCGCACACCCGAGTCCTCCGAGGACGAAGGCGCGTCCTCGCGCCCTTCCAGCCGCCCGCCCTCGCGTCCCAGCTCGCGCGCATCACGCAAGCGCTCCGACAGCACTGGCACCGCGGGCGGCGACAAGGACAAACGACGTATGAGCGTTGCGGGTTGGGCTTCTTCCGCCGTCGGCAGCGTCACCGGACGCGGGAAGAAGAACCGCGACAAGGATACGTTCGCGAGTCTTACGGACGACGCCGAGCGCGACTCGGGACCCGGCGACTCAGACACCTCGGGCGGCGGCGGGCTCTCTGGCAGCCTCTCCTCCATCAAGCGCCGCAGCTCGAAGAGCAAGGTGGCGCAGACGACGCCGAAGCTGCCCACACGCATCTTGAAGCCGCCGTCGCAGGTGCCGCGCAAGGTCGTGCGGGCGCTGTACGACTTTTCTGGGTCGTCAGACGAGCTGGCGTTCAAGACCGGGGACCAGATCGTCGTAGTGAATGAGGTGCTGGACGGGTGGTGGATGGGGGAGCTCAATGGGAAGCAGGGGCTGTTCCCCACGCCGTACACCGAAGTTCTCCCCGACCGCCCGCCGTTGCCAAAACGCGCTGACCTTGCAGGGAACGGCAATCATCTTGGCCTCGATATGGACGATAGCGACGACTCGCGCGATATCGAGGTGGACGATGACGACGACATGTACGGGCGTCCGCTCGCGGTCATGTCGCCGACGACGAACAGCCCATTCTACGGCGGTCCGACGGACACTGCGAGCATTATCAGCAGCGTCGCGGACGATGACGACGACGAGCGGAACCTCATGCATTCCTCCGCGTCGTTTGGACACGCCACGGCGCCTACTCCACCCATCGTTCGGCGGTCGACGACGAGCGAGCTGAAGAAGGCGCCACCGCCGCCACCGCCGCGTCGCACCACGAATGGGACGCCCAACGCGAGCCCGATGATACCTGAGCGCCGGCCGCCCTCGCGCGGCGCGACCTCGAACACCTCGGGCTCCGTTTCGCGCGCAGGTGGGGGGTACCTATCTACCAACTCTTCGTCGGAGAGTGGGCACAGCACTGGCGCGGGCCGGTACGACCGCTCGCCGTTTGAGAGCGCGACGGAACTGACGACGTCCCCTGGGGCGAGCGCGAGCGGGTGCACGGACTTTAAGCAGAATCCCTTCAAGCCAAAAGGGATGTGCAGTAACTGCTTCGAGTTCCATGGGTGAATGTGCCGTGCCGTGTCGTGTGCGACACATACTATATATACACATCTTGTCTGCGTCGCACTTGAGCGACCGGTGGACTGTATCGATACTGACTAACGTATGAGTCTTTTTATTTTATTCCACGAAGTAAAGTAGGTTCCTGGATGAATGGGAATGGGGTTGGAAATGAGGGAGGATCATTATTATGTACTGCTGTGGTGAGTTGGAACACGATCGAGCGAGCCTCCTCGCTGCCGGTTGTGATCCGGGCATTCCCAGCTTTACTTCATACTAACACGACCACCGACGTCGAGCCCAGGGACCGCGACGCTCCTCCCACCGCAGATTCCTTACTGACCCCCGAGCTGTGTAGATGCCTGGCCCCGTCACCCTCCACACCCGCAAGATCGTCATCCTGGGCTCGCGCTCGGTCGGTGAGCGGATTTACTGCGAGCTCGTTCTCAGGGTGCGGTGCTGACCTTGGTGCGTGCAGGCAAGTCGTCGCTGGTGAAGCAGTTCGTAGATAACGACTTCTCCGAGTCGTACTACCCCACCGTGGACACGCCGTACAGCAAGACCATCACGTATAATGGGGTAGAGTACCCGTGCGAGATTATAGACACGGCGGGGCAGGTGCGCTGATTCCTCGGGCCTTTACCGCTCACTCACTCTGCGCCGATTGCTGTGATCCGTGCAGGACGAGTTCTCACAGCTCAACTCGCAACATGCGATTGGAATACATGGCTACGTATTGGTCTACTCGATCGCCTCCCGAGCGTCGTTCAACATGGTGCAAATCATATACGACAAAATCCTCAATTACTCGGGGCTCCCTGAAATCGCAGCCATCATCGTGGGGTCCAAGGCCGACTTGAATTTGAGGTGCGTCCCGGTCGCTTAATTCATTTTAAGTGTCGGAAATTAAACGTCGATCTCAACAGCCGCCAAGTAGACGCAACGGACGGCCAGCGGCTCGCCGCGCAAAACAAAACTGCTTGGATTGAAGCGAGCGCGCTGCGGAACGAGAACGTCGGTGAGTTGCCCTTCCTTCCCTTCCCATCCCTCCCTCAGTATCGGCGTTTTTCGCAACACGCATATTGACCCTCCATCGTGCGTCCGCGCGCTTGCAGGCCAGGTCTTTGAGCTTTGTCTGGCAGAAATAGAGAGGGGCAACGCCCCGCCGCCGCCCCCCGCTGACGCCAGCCGGGGGTGTGCTGTTATGTAGGTTGCCAGTTGCCGGGTGGTCGGCGATGGAACGTGTGGTGGTGTGGTGTACATTTCTGCGGCCGGTGATGGATTGGTTGATTGTTGACGGTGTAGATATAGGCGAAGGTGCGGACAGGGAACGGCGGGATGAACGATATATATGTATGTATTTCCTGCTGTGCTTGGCGCGCCCTAGACGCCACGGGTCCCGGTTTATAGCTATAGAGTTCTTTCTGCGTCTCGATGGCGCTTTACCTTGCTCATCATGATTCGGCACGCTTCATCGACGCCGGTCAGGACTCAGGAAGGAAGATCTCCAACAAAGAAGGGAACAATTCGTGGACGCAGCCAGACTCGCAAGACAAGGGATAAACTCCCCGGAGCAAGAAGAAAACCCTGGGCTTGAATATGACCTGCGGAGATGAACTGCGCATCGCTTCGAACTAACCCCCGCGCCCTGTTCTCTTCACTCGTTTTTCTGCTCGTGAGCTTCGCCGCTCTGCCCTAGTAAAGTTCTCTGCGGCTGAACCACTGCAACAAAGAAAAATCAACAACCAAGAAACACAGTATCGCAGGAGAGGATTGCTTAGGCGCCTGTGTTTCTCGCGAGCGCGGGGCAATTTGCCCGGGAGCCCGGCCTCGTGTTTTTCTAGCAGTGCCACCCGAAGGAATCGAACCCCCGACGTCCTGCTTCCGCAAATTCACGAATGCTGGGACTTTAACCACTGAACGATAGTGGAAACTGGCTGACGACAGTACGGGCTTGGAGCTCGCACTCGGAGGGGAAGGAGGAAGATCTACCTGGATTCTAGCTCAACCCAAATTTTTCCTTGCCCGTTTGTTTTCCCTACGATTCCGTGGGACCAAATTGCAAGCGAAGATCCCGTTGACGGCTCCCCATGGGGTCGAAGAATTCAATACGTAAAGGGGTTTGGTGGCGGTGTACATGCCCAAAACGGAACCAAACGTTGGTCTTCTCTTCCACGTCGTTGTGTCCCGCCCATTCTTATGTCCCACCTCGCCACAAGCCAAGATCATACGCGCGCTGCTGTGATTTATTTCATTCGAAACGACGCTGATTATGACCCCCCCCCCCGACAGCCGGTGTTGGAGGAATCGATCTTCGAAGAGTTTGCGGGAACTACAAGAAAAGGGTCGGTGACACGAAAGGTGGTGGAGTTGTCCGATCAACATGGTGTTGCCGTGGTTGCAATTGTTGCAATACAGCGGATGTAATACGTGGACCGGCCACCTTCACTCCCTCCGGAGCGCCATCAATCTCGTCGACTGTTGTTTGAAGATAACAACAGATGGCATACCACAAACCCCCATTCTCCTTCCTCACTTGCTTCGCCTCTCTCTGTCGAATGCCGAGTTTTGCACTGCCTAGAAACACATACCCTCCTGGAGCTTTATTGCGACCTCCGGCCTCAGGGAGTCTGACTCCATAAAGGAAAGAATACGTCCGCATTTGGAGCCCCGCCGACATTATCCGCCAAAGTAGTAAATTTCCAAGTCGAAAAAGCGAAGAAGTTATCTCTGCTGTCTGTCGGAGTCTAAGGACCTTGAATTTTCTTGCCTTTACAATACTCTTTCCACGTGTCCACTATGATCAAATGGTTAATCTCCGTGCATTGTCACCTCGACGAATGCTCGGTGTCGAAGGTTCGATTCCTTCGGGTGGCACATTTCAGAGCCGGGCCCCGAGCAGTTGCTCCGCGCTCGCGATGAAACACAGGTGCAAAGCATTTCTCTCTATGCGATACTGTGGTTCGAGATTCTTTTTTCAAGTTTTTCCTTTTCGACCCTCTCGCTTTTAATTCTGCACCCTGACGACCACGCAGATGCATTTGGTCGAGGCGCACTCTTCCCGAAACGCGGTGTATGGATCGGCCGTTTTCCCTCGCCCCATAAGGCACACCTCCAGAATAGGAAGTCTTTAACTCGGATTGAAGATCATTGAAGTCGGAGGATCGAAAAAGAAAATGTGAAGTGTCCCGGTTTCTACTCTGAGACCAACCATTCTCCCTCCTCTCGCAAAGAGCCTTGGTGAAAGTCAGACGTGTGAATAATGTGTCCACTATGGTTCAGTGGTTAAACTCCTCGCAACGTTCAGTTAACGAATACAGAGTATCGGAGGTTCGATTCCTCTAGTGGCGCAACCCATTTGGAGCCGGGCACCGAGCACTGCTCCGCGCCCGCGTCACAGGCATTTCTCCCTATGGTTTACTGTGGTCTATTTTTCCTCTCGCGAGCCGGTACTGTCTCGTTCAACTTGACAGAGATGTAGCATTACTCCCGAGGTCCCTATCAGGTATTGTACTACATTAAACGGACTGCCAAATAAAGCCCCGAGCTCATGGCGGACCTGCTAACTCGAATATTTCTTCCGCGCCTGGCGAGCAAATCGATGCACACCTTTCGGCCCCGTTCGCTGCCAGTGCTCGCTGTTGCCTTGCGGCCTAAAGTCAAGTGACTTCGTTATCAACGCTCGAGATACGGTATTCCTGCCAGTGAGCGCCAGAATCTTTCCTCCGCTGCGGCTAACACCAAGGAATTATATTATGTGTACAGTAGCGCCCCCTGCTCCCGCAGGTGCCTTGAATTACAGTTGAACTTCACAATAAACCAAGATAAGTAGAGATAAGTTAGAACAGCCCCAGGCATGTTACGGTCAGGAAACCGGTCAAGAGAATAGCGCGGGGTATCATTCGAAGCGAGGCGCCGTTGACATCTGCCGCCGCGACAGGCTTGGTCGTGCTGGTGCTGGTGCTCGTCGCCGCCGCTGCGGCTGCAGCCTGCCCCCGTAGGAAGGTACTCCACGCGGCAATTGTCGCTGCGGGGTACGCGAACGTCGAGGTCTTCGTTCCCGTCCCGGCCTCGTAAACGATGTCGTTGGAGCCGGGTAGGATGTTGCCAACGAGGGGCGAGTTTTCGCCGCCCACAACGCTGATGGCTCCAGAAGGGGACTTGATGACCGAGCCGGTGGGGTTGGAGCCAAAGATGAATTCCCGGACGAACGTCAACGCCTGCAAAAAATTAGTGAGAGGCAGACGAACACGAAAGAAAAGGCCCACCGCCGCGGGGGTCTTCTGTGGGATCAAGTGGCCGGCGCCGCTGAACAGGACGTAGGTCCAACCGCGCTCTTGATGGACAATGCCCGCGGGCTTGCCAGTGTCGTCGCTCCAAGGCGTGGACGGCGGGCGGGTGAAGCCCTGGATGCCGCCGAAGGTCGTGTTCTATTGAGTGTCACGGTCAGTATTATGAGCACGCCAGTGAAGAGCGAACGAACTTGAATCGTAACTAGAACAAGACATGAGGGACCGATTTATAAGAATCAGATATGCGCACCTTCTGTCCCCCGATGGGCGATCAGAGCATCGTCGTTGCCGGAATATAATACGACTCCGACACCGTGCGCAGTTGCGTTCGTAGCAAATTCAGTCAAGAAGTTCATAGTACTGTTCGATTCTTTGAGCAAGGTTCGGGATGAGGAAGGACGCAAACGTACACTTGGCCTAAGGAAGGGTCTCTTTAATTCAGCCATCTACGGACGCGGGGAGAGACTTACTCGGGTCATCATCTGGTGCATCATCAGAAATAAGTCGAAGAAAGGAATGGTTGAACGAACCTAGTTCACCGAACACAAACTCGAAAGTCTCTTCCCAAGCTTTACTCGTAGGGGCATGCAGAGCAGCCACCGTTCGTGGGTCTAGCGCACCGTCAGTATATCAACTCCCGTCCGAAGAAAGCCGCGCACCAGTTAAAAACGTCGGAGCAAGACTCGGTGAGCCGTCCGGGTCCGTAATGTCATAAACCTATTCAAAATAATCAATTTTCGCACGGTTGAAAACGCGGGTAGCGTACATTAAAAGCTCCGTCTGTGAGATTCCAGGGAGCGGAGTAGTTGAGGGCGTAGTCGATAAATTCTGGGAGCAGTGCGCAGCCGTACTGGGACCGAAAGTATAATCAGAAACAAATCCAAACCCAACACAGACAGGGCTCACCCAGGGATCGAGAGTCCCATTCGCACGGAGACTCAGATCGCGCTTCCACGTCCTCTGCCGACGCTGCCGCGCACGGTGATCGCGTTCAACTGGGTCCATCTCGGCGTACCGGCGGTTGACCTCGTCGACGAGCCCGCGTTTGGAGTACAAAGTTTTGTCGAGGAAGGGCACGTCGCGGTCCGCGGCGTCGATGAATTTGACTGTGGGGATGATACCGTTCTGAGGGTAAGTCAAGTTCACGTCGAAGCCGCAGAGGTGCTCTCTGCGGGGTGGAGTTAGTATGATGCTGAGAGAGATGGGGCGCGACGCACTGTTCTTTGAAGTAGTTGTAGACCTCTTGATCGTACCCGATGAGTTGAGGGTAGGTTTCCAGGACGCTCAGCTGAGGAGGGTTAATCCGGTGTGGTCAAATAATTCTAGGATGAACTCACTGCGGGGAGGAGCTCAAACACCTCGTCTGCGGCAATAGATCCATCTCCGATGGCAATCTTTGCAATTTTGACTGGAGGGTTTGCCATCGAAAAGTACGCCTGGAATAAGCGCTTAGTACGAAAAAGGTTCACTAGGGTGAAATCTAACTGACCTTCATGATGTAGGGTATATACCTGAGTAACGCGAAAATCAGGGACCGTCAAATAATTTCAGGAAGCACTTACATGCCGGCGTAGCTCTCTCCCGTAAGGTGAAGGGGACGTGTCGCGAGAGTGGGGAAGACTTTGACCAGGTTTGCCAGGAAACCCATCTTAATTCGAGGTCAACCAATGTTCAGATATGATTGAGGCGTACTCACAAAGTCGGCTCCCATTTGGTCCTCATCGGCAACTGTTCATTGGTCGGATTGAGGAAACAGCGAAATGACATGAAGACTTACCGTAACCAGCTGCATCTGCCGTGGCAAAGCCCACGCCTCTGTAGATAAGCGTTAGGACATGGTTGTCAGAAAGAAATAATAGACGAACACTGGTTGGTCGATCCAGATGTAATCGGAAACGGTGTCCCAGCTGTATTTATTTGCAGAGATGGTTCCATCGCTCGCGATGCGAATCGGTCCGTTCTAGGACCATATTGAGTAGTGCATCACGGCAGAGTGACTAGAAACAGACCTCCAAGAAAAATCCCAACATGCTCGACGAACCAGGACTGAAATAAAATGTGAGACAGAGAAATAGTGGCGTGCGGGAGTGGAACCGACCCTCCATTGAGCCAAATACCCCATGGCTTGGTGCTCTTGGCCGCCGTTAAGGACCCGACTGAATTCTCAAGAGCCCAGAAGAAAAGAGTATTGTTCGGGTGTCCGGCGCGTTGGACGTTGATGTTGCCAGCATAGCTTCGTGGTAAAGAGAATGTGATATTCGGCAGCGGAGCAGTAACTTGAAAATCTAGCATTGCCCATTAGGTCTAACTGGAGTGAAGAGGCTAGGGCAACACCCACATTTCTGCCAGGCGGGACTATAGTCCCCGGTGGGTTGGCCGGAATATACGTGAGGATACGAGCTGGGGAGAGTATCGGCCAGGACAACAGACACAGCTGCGAGAAGCGTTAGAGGAATATGTCGTGAGGAGACCATGACGGGGGAAGATCTAGAGAGAGCTGGGGAATCGCATTGTCCCTGCCTGCACTTATAGATGGCGGCGGTGACTACCCGGCACAGTCCAGGGCGCACTTGACAATTGAGAGCGCCCTAAAATAAGTCCATATGTGCACGTTATTGTTGAAGCCAACAGTTCTGCCGAATGTTTATTGTCTTTTCGCTATTGTTGCGGCAAGAAGCCGGCACCCAATTAGGCAGGTACGGTGATTTTGGGCGGGCCAGGGCTGGTGTGGACGAGCGACAGCTGTTTTTGTAGGGTAAATAGAAGGACCCTAAACGGACTGGTGGAAGTTGAAGACAAGATTGAGAGAAGGGGAAGTTGATGGCCGCAGTCACGACTCGCTTTGAGCCCGAAAATGATACAACTTGGATCCAACGGGAAGCAGCGCTAGCGCCGGTATTGTTTTCAACGTTAACGGTGCGTAGTGAAGATTTGGTGAATAGGTGAATATGGTCGTGCGAACGAGTCAGAGCGCGTTGTTTGTCTGGGTTTACCATCGCCTTTGACTGGACTTTCACCATGGCCCGCCGCAAACGCATTATGGACGACGGGGACGACTCCGACGCCTCTGTCAACTCGGAGGACGACGATTTCGACCCCCGCGAAGGCGCCGACGCGCGGGCTGCCCGAAATCTGTTCGAAAACCCGTACCAACGCAAGCGACGACGGGTCAGTGAGGACGAAGAAGACGGCCTCGGGGCGGATCTCCAGCCCCGCAAAAATGCGCCGCGGCGGAGTGACTGGACCAAGGCCCCTGCATTTGTCTCTGGTGACGCGTCTGGGTCAAAGATGGATGTAGACGAGGCCGAGGAAGATGGTGAGGACGGCGCTTCCGAGGACGGCGACGACGATGGCTCAGATGATTCTGACGAGTCTGAATCCAGGGCCCCGTCTCCTCGAGTGCGGGAGGAGGAGGAGGACGAGGCCGAACCTCCGCCCGTTCGTGGTATAGGCTCAAAATTTGTGGATGATACGGATGTCTCGATGCCCATGCTCGGCGCCTCCAGAGGCGGTATTGGCTCCGGGGCCAAGGGAGGCATCGGTTCTGGCTCAAAGGGCGGCATTGGTTCATCGCGAGCCGCTCCTTCTGCGACATTCTCCAAAGCCGGACTCGGGTCTGCGTTCGCAAAGAGCGGAATGGCTGCATTTTCCAAAGCTGCCGACGAGCCCCCTCCGTCCTCCTCCCCTTCAAATAGCGCAAGCGGTGGTATTGGCTCCAAAGGCGGCATCGGCTCGCGCCCTCCGCCACCGCCATCCGAGGAAGAATTTCCCTCCGCTTTCAGCAAACGCAGCAAACCTTCATTCGTCCGGGACTCCAGTCCCTCCACACGACCTGCGACTCCGTTAACCGCGGCAGAGCGCGCCCATTTCAACAAAATCCAAGGCTCGATCGGTGCGCGCCTCATGGCGAAGATGGGCTGGCAAGCCGGCACGGGTCTCGGTACCGCTGGCGAGGGTATCGTGACACCCGTGGAAAGCAAGCTACGGCCCCAGAAAATGGGTATGGGGTTCCGCGGGTTCAAAGAGCGCACGGAGCAGTCGAAGAGGGAGGAGGAGCG